GCTTACAATAAAACAAGGGAGGGGGGAATAATACACAAACAACATTAAAATATACAACAGTCACAATTTCCAGGGGGCTGGATATATCAAGGGCCCCCCGGCCTGCTGGAGCAGCCAGGACTTGACAGCTTTGCGGAAGGCCGGGAGGGTAGTAAACTGTTGTGCTCTGTGGATCACGCCAGCCTGCCGATCCCTTTCTCAAGGACTGCCACGTCCAGTTCTAATCTGGGCTGGACTCCACCTCCCATACGCCACAGCCCAGGGACCTTTCGTTTGGGGAGTTCTGCCCCCGAACCTCCTAAGGGCACGGCCTCCCGTGGGGGGAGGGGAAGTTCTGCTGTGGAACCGGCTGCCCTCCCGCTTCCCTTCCAGTCTACACCCTGGCCCGGCTCTATGGCGTGGAGGGGGACCTGTCCGAGATCGCTCGCCAGGGCTCTGGGAGCGCCTGCAGAAGTATGTTTGGGGGCTTCGTGCAGTGGGTGATGGGGGACGATGCCGACGGCAAAGACAGCGTGGCCCAACAGGTGGCGCCAGAGACGCACTGGCCGCAGCTGCGGGTCCTGATTCTGGTGGTGAGTCTGGGGTCCCCCCCCCACAGGGAAACTGTGGCTGCCTCGTGGTTGGGCCGGCCCAGTTGCTTAGGGAGTTGGGGGAGGCAGGAGGAGGCCCCTTCTGGAGGTGCTTCCTGCGTCCTCCCCCATTGTCCCTCTTCCTCCTCCTCCTCCCTCCGCGACAGGTGAGTGCAGAGAAGAAGGTGGTGGGCAGCACAGCTGGAATGCAGAGCAGTGTGAAGACCAGCCTCCTGTTGAAGGTAGGAGACGCAGCTGCCCGGTTACAGAGCCCCCCTCCCTCCTCCCCAGGCCCCCCTTGGAGCTTTTCCCAGATTGCCGCTTCCCTTCCACCCCCTCAGACGCCCTGGAAATGCCCCACCTGGGGCTCCTTGGGCCCCCCACCTCTCTGACGGTCACCTTCTGAAGCCAACGTGGATTTCGATGTCTCAGGCAAACGGTTTCTCTCCGCTGTTCAGGTGAATCCAGAAGGGAAACTAAGGCAGGGCCAAACCTCAAGTCCCCCTCATTCAGTTGTTTCGTTCGGGACAGTTGCCACTGACCAGCCTGAATGTCCTTGGCTTCACAGCCATTTGTTTAATGAACATTTAAAGTTATGACACTGGAAGAAAATGATTTATGACCTTGGCTGTGACTCACTTAACTGCCTCGCTTAGCAGTGGAAATTCCAGTCTGAATGGTGGTCATAAGCTGAGGACTACCGGTAGAGAACATGGTCAGCCCTGGAAGAGCCTGAGATGAAGACTTCGCTTCCCTGAGCTCCGTTGAGAGGGAATCTTGGCCTCTCCCCATCAGTCCAGACTGATCCATTGACCCCCCAATGCTTCTCCTGAGGTCTCTCCCCCCTCCACCTTGTTACATATATAATGTTGAGCTCCCTTAACCCCCCCCCCAGTTGTTTAATTTACAGTGCTGGAAGGGACCTTGTAGATCATCTAGTCCAACCCCCACCCAAGCCGGAGACCCTACTCCATTTCTGACAGATGGCCGTCCAGTCCTTTCTCTGAAGCCTCCTCCTCCTCCTCTTCCAGCACCGTGCGGAGGCTGTGGTGCCGGAGCGCATGGCCCAGATGATCCACCACATCCGGCAGAGGGATTTTGAGGCCTTCGGTCAGCTCACCATGAAGGACAGCAACCAGTTCCACGCCACCTGCATGGACACCTTCCCGCCCATCTTCTACCTCAACGACACCTCCAAGCAAGTCATCGCCCTGGTGCACCGCTTCAACGTCCACCACGGGGAAACCAAAGTACGTGGGGAGCTGCAGTGCCAGGATGGGGCCAGGGGGCCCCTGGGGGAAGGCTGGCGAGTCTCGTTTTTGGCCAGCTGGTCAAAGGATCGAATCGAATCAAATTCTTTATTTGGCCAAGTGAGAATTGGACACACAAGGGATTTGCCAGAAGATCCCAGTGTACGTGCAAAATAAATAATAATACTATAGCCATATAGAAAATATTTACACACGGATTGTGGCTAGAGAAAAAGAAATCTTTTATCTTTTTCTTTTTTTAAAAATATATATTTTTATTATTTTTCTTTAAAAAAAACACACATACAAAACAAAAGCAAGAAAAAGAACAACTTTCCTCCATTTCATCATGTTTGGTTACAAGTTTTTGTGCATCAATTCTTAAGATTAAGAATAACATCGCTGGTTTTGCATTAAACATCACTGAATATTTCGCTGTCATTGAGCATTATGTGTTCAAATTACCATTAATACTCTTTCATTTGTAGCAATCCTTGTTTCCTTGAATTCATAATTATCTATCAAATAACAATAAGTCTTTAAAGTATTATAATATCACCTATCTCCAAGGAGAAAAAGCGGAGATTACAACAAAGAATTCCCATGAATTTATAATACACGTTCATATTTTCAATTGACCATAATGTCACCACCAAACATCCAGAGTTCCAAGAATAATTTTCCATTATTAATTATTAATCCATATAGTGGTTAAGTATTTCAATTCATATGTATATCAATTGTTCATTACATCATCATTGATCCATTTAACATACAAAAGAAAGAAATCTTTTATCTTTTTGACAGGTGGCCTACACATTCGATGCTGGTCCCAACGCCGTCCTTTTCCTGCTGGATGAGACCCTGGAGGAATTTGTGGGGGTGGTCCAACGCAGCTTCCCCCCCAAGAGTAACGGAGACCAGTGAGTGAGCCCAGCTTTGCTGCTTATGTGGGAAGTCAGAGTAACACCCCATGCGTTCCCTGAAACTGTCCCCAAACTGTTTTTGAAAAGTAACAGAAGGGGTCTTTGTATTATAATCCTTCCTGCAAGTGTTTGTGATTATTCCCGTCTTGATTTTTTTTTNTCTGGACTAGCTGCAGTCTCCGAACACTTTTCAAGGGTAGCCCCATGTAGAGCGCGTTGCAGTAATCCAGCCTTGAGGTGACAAGGGCGTGAGTATATACAAAAATAGACCTTTATGTTATATCAGGGACGGAAAGATGTGATTGTTCTCTACCCCTCCCTGCTGCTTAAACTCACAGGGTGAACGATGTAAATGGGGGGAAGTGAGCTCAATCTGGATTGTTTTAAAAGGACGAGTTGAGGGAATCTACAGGGTGAGATGAGGTTAGCTGGCCCTCCTGCATTCCTCAAGACAAGACGAAGGGGAGGGAAGAAGCAAGGAGACGAGATAAGGAGAAACTTCCTAACAGTGAGAACCATGAATCGGAGCAACCACTTGGTTCCAGAAATTGTGGGTCTCCATCACTGGAGGTTTTAAAGAAGACACTGGACAGCCACTGGTCTGGAACGGTAGAGGGTCTCCTGCTTGAGCAGAGGGTTGGATTAGAAGATCTTCAGGGTTCCTTTCCAACTCTGGTATTCTGTTATTATTCTGAATCTGATAAATGCACGGAAAAGGGTGTGTTTTTCGGAGTGTCACGGAATGCTTCTTCCCTTGAACTCAGCGTCTAATTCTGTGCTTTCTTCTTCGGCTGTCTCTTTATTTTGATTTCTCGCAGCGGCCAGAAGTATTTCACAGTGGCTGTGAAGACTTGTGGACCCCTGACGAGGAATTATTATGTCCGGGCCGTTCTCCACGCATGGTAATTTGCACCCCGACCATTTTCAGACTCGGGCAGATCCACCAACCCAGGGCAGGGTTTTCAGCTGCAGCTCTCCTGCTCAGGCCCTGAGGTTGCGGATGTGAAGGTGATGGAGGGTGGAGATACTCACAGGTGGTCCTCGACGCGTGGCCGGTTGCTTAGCAACAACTTCAAGTTACAACGGACAGCCCCCCCCAAAGCTATTTATGACCCAGTTTCAAAGTTATGATCTTCCTCCCCCCCACAGTCATATGACTGCTTTTTAATAGCAATAGCAGTTAGACTTATATAGCGCTTCATAGGGCGTTCAGCCCTCTCTAAGCGGTTTACAGAGTCAGCATATCGCCCCCAACAACAATCCGGGTCCTCATTTNAACTCCCAGAATTCCCCAGCAGTGGTTAGGACAGTGTTTCTCAACCTTGTCAACTTGAATGGGAATGGAAGGAGGGCTGGAAAGGGCCTTGAGCTCCCGATCCCATGGTCCCGGACCATCAGGCACAGGCAGATGGGATTTGGAGTCCAGCCACGCTTGGATGGAGCCCAATTCCAGCCCTGTCCGACCCCACCCTTGCACCAAAAGCCAGACTTCGGGGCTGGGGGCTTCAAGGGGACGAAGCCTCGCTGCCGCTGCTGCCCTTCGTGCCTTCGCGCGTTCCCCGCAAGAACTCAAGGAAGGGGCGCTTCCCCCGCAGATCAGCCGCCGCTCCGCTCTCCGCCCGCCGCCTCTTCCAGCTTCTCCCGCGGAGACGCCCGTGGGGGCACTGGGGGGGGGGAGAGCAAAAGGCCGTCCGGGCTTTCCCGGTCCCCTTTCCCATAGGGGAAGCGCCGTCCGGGCTGCCTGCGGCTGGCGGGGCGCGGAAAGTCCCCGGGGCGTTGCTGGCTGGGCGGGCAGAGGAGGAGCAGGAAGGACGTAGCCGCGATCCCCCCCTCCGTTTGCCCGGCCTCCCGCTTGCTTGCCCGGCTGCCGGCTGAGTCGGGGCGGCGGCGCGATGGGGCGCATCGAGTGGGCCATGTGGGCGAACGAGCAGGCGCTGGCCGCCGGGCTGAGTGAGTCTCGCGGGGGGCGCAGCCTGGGCAGAGCGCGGGGGGCGGCAGGAACGGGGAGGGGAGGGGAGGGGGCGCAGGATTTCTCCTTTATCCCCCCCTCCTTTGTGGCTACCCAGTTCTTGGCGCTTTCTCTCCCCCCGCCCCGTCTTTCGTTGGCTACAAAGTGTCCAAGTTTGGCTACAAACTTTCCAAAAGTTTTCTCTCCCCGCCCCTCCTCTTTCCCGTTGGGTAAATAGTTTTTTTTTGGGGGGGGGGGATTAGAACAGGGACCTGTGGAAAGAGGGACCCCCCCCTCCCCGTCTCCTCCAGGCCTTGGACTTTCGAGCCCATCATCCCTGACCAGGTGGGATTTGGAGAGGAGCCACACCTGGATGGGCGCAGGTTCGGCCCAAACGAGGCTCCCGGTGGCTTTGCGTAAAGATGCGACCCTTCCCCTTCTGCCCCCACCTTCTGTGCGAGAGAGAGACGGGGGGGGGTTGTCCAGGTGCGAGGCAGGTCCAGATGCGGCCCCAGGTGTCTTCGGGGCTGCGTGGGGTGCTTGGCAATCGGCTCTCGTAGCCTGCAAGAATTCCTGGCGGTCGCCTGCCCGGACCCTCAGCCCTTCACCCACCTTTCCCCCCCCCCTTGTAAGGCGGGAAAGAAGAAGGACTCCCCCACCCAACCCGCAAGGGAACGCTCGCCCCTTTCGGTTGCAAGCGGAGGAGAGGGAGGAAGTGCACGCACGAAAATAAAGGGGAAGGACGCTTGGAAGGAGAAACGGGGCCCATTGCTGGGGGTGGAAACAGCACGTCCTTTCGGGCCCTTCGGCTCCTCTTCTCCTGGGCCCCAGAAGGGGCGGAAGGAGGGGGCCCAAGCTCCTTTGAGGGGGTGGAAAAGAGGAGCATTAAACAAAATGGGGAAATGGAAAAAAAATCCCCCAGAGGGAGAGGTAATTAAAAAAATATTAGACTCTGCAGAAAGGAACAGATTGATTAAAGAGAAGGAAGAATCAGAGTATTGTAAGATAAGGGGGACGTTTTTATCACTGGGTAGAAGATGAAGATGGGCAAAAAGAAACAGAAAACTGAGTAATTTGGAGAGGAACGTAGAATTATAGGGGAGGAGTTGAATTAAAAGGCAATTGAGATGTAAATGTAACAGCAAGATAAAAAATAGATCAAAAATGATGTCACTGTTAAATAGGATGGCATAAAGACTACTCAGATGGCACACTGTAGGATTAATCATGTAGGAGGGTTGATGGGGAAAAAAACTTTTCAAAAAGAAAAGAAAACGGGCATAAAACCTTTTTTCTTTTTTCTATCCAAAAAGAAGAGGCCTGCTCTGAGTTTTAGTTTTAGTTTTGAGTTTTATTTTATTTATATGCTGCCCTTTCCCCCCCCCCCCGAAGGGGACTCAGGACGGCTCACAACTCAACCAGGGGAGGGGGGTACAAACAAGAATTTAAAACAACATAAAAACCCTCTATCCATAATCATAGCCCAGCTTCACAGTGGCCAGTTTAACAGACAGACAACTCAAGGCTCTTGCAAGGGGGATTTACTGCTGCAACCGGTGGAATCCACCAAATATTCCCCCAAACCTTTGAAGGAGGGAGGCAGCCCCAGGGACTCTCTTTTGAAGGAACATCCCTTGGAATCTTAAAAGCCACCTGGCCCTCTGCAGGGGCTTGTGGTCCAGCCTGAGTGATGAACTGGACACCCCTCTTGGTCCAGCCGAGGGGACAGGAGCTCACGCCAAGCACGAGACCTTTGCATGAGAACAACCTCTGCGTGGCCTCCCCCCCCCCCCCCCGTCTGCAGGAGGAGGTGGAGGAGGGTGGGGGCAGCTTTCACTTCTCCCTTTTGGCTTCTTCCTCCTTCAAAGGGGGCAGCCAAGCAAAGCAGCTGCCTGCATTTCTGCGCCTGCACTGAATCCGAACCCCACGGGAAGGGGGGGGGAAGGAAAGACCCCCCCCCCAGCCCAGCCCAGCCCAGGATCCTGATGCTTCCAGGAGTTTGAATCCCCAGGAAGGCCCACTCCCTTCCATGCCTTACAACTGAACGTTGCAGCGCAGAGGAACACGGCTGCCCTCAGCTCCTTTTCATCCTTCCCACCCTCTGTCCTTTAGCATCATGGGACTCTGGCTCTTTGGAGGAAATTTGAAATTGAAAATTGAAATTTAATGAATTTATATGGAGGAGGAGGGGGGGGGACTGCAGTCCCACCCATCTTTTGCGACCTTCTGAAGAGCAAAATCAATGGGGGAGCCAGATTCACTTAACAATTGTGTTACCAACTTAACAATTGGGGTGGTTCATTTAACGACCGGCAAGACAGGTCGTAAAATGAGGCAGAGCTCATATAACCACTTAGAGGGGGCTGTAAAAGCGCTGTGAAGCAGTATATAAGTCTAATTGCTATTGCTATAACAACTGTTCTCACTTAGCAACAGAAATTTTGGGCGTAAGTTAAGCACTACTTGTACCCCTGTTTCGTTTGAACAACCAGAAGATTAAAAGCGAAGTGTGTATATGTGTTAAACATGTACATCCACAATGTTCCTCTTCAGTTGTCAACAAAGATCTGCCGTTTCCCACGGGCTCAATTCCCAGTTCCCAGTTTGCTTAATTTTTGGATCCGAAAAGTTCATTGTGGGTAGAAAGTGGAATAATCTCACAAACCCCAAAAAAACCAACCTCCTTTCTCTCTCTCTCTCTCTTAGTTTTAGTGACCGGTGGCATCGTGGCGGTTGCAGGCCAATTCAAAATGTGGCCGATTGCAGTTTATGCAATGTATCCTTTCGTGAAAATACGGTAATTGTTTAAATTCTATTCCCTTGCAACTGGCTAGGANCCCAGCATTTGGGAGATCTTATTTTTTAGCCTAATGATCGGCCCCCTACCTCCCCCTCTCCACCCCAGATTTAAGCACTAAACCCCCCTCCCCATTTAAATACAGATGGACATAAAAATAAGGAAATTTGCAGAAAGTGTTTGGAATGCTTTTTACACGGCTTCGGTCCCTGTTCAGATAGAGAACAGCCATTAAATGTTATCGACATATCAAGCAATAAAATGCAACTGACAGTTATAACGTTCTTTCCCTCTTAACGTTTCCTGCCAACTGTTTCACTTCTTCCCTTTTTGTTCTTTCTCTTGGTTCAGCCTGGGCCAGGACCTTCAGTTGTGGACGATGGGAGCTGCCATCTCCTGGGGGAAGACGGGATGCCTGGAAGCAGCGGCTGAGCCAAGACCAGCTCCTGTTGGGCTGCCATGGGAGGAGGGGGGGGTCTGGGCCGATAATTTCTGGGGGTCTTTTCCTGTCCTCATCACTTGTTTCGTACTCTGCTCCAGAGCCAGCCAGTGGGAGGAGGGGGGCCTGGGGGTCTTTTCCTGTCCTCATCACCTGTTTCGTACTCTGCTCCTCGATCCGGCACCTCGAGACTCGTGGCCCATAACTATTTATGTAAATTAATACTCTTCCATTTCTTCGATACGGTTTTATTATTAAGAGAGGTTTTTGAAATAAACGAGATCTTATGCGCGGCTCTCTTGTGGAAGCGTGTCTCAGCTGTGGGCATCACCATTTGGGGGTTCTCTGCCCGTTCTTCTTTTATGTTCATACTCTGGAATTACGACACACTGTCCCCCCCCTCGGTCCGTCCGTCCCCCAGAGTAAAAGTGCTTGAGGGCGTTAGCCCTTTCGGAGCAGATGTTACATAAAGTTAACTTACAACACAAATGTCAGAAAAGATTGATGGGAAAGTTGTAGGATTTAGAAAAAGAAACCATTGTTCAAAGTCTTCAGAAGGCAACATGAAATGCTCCTTGATTCTCTCCCTGCCCAAATCCCCCTGCAAAGCCCACCCAGAAGGGAAAGGCAAGGCCGGAAGCGGTCTGCTTGAAGGGGAATCTAGGGAAAGGCAGCTGACTTTGGAAGGAAGGAAGGGCTGGCATGGCAGGAGGGCACCCTAAAGGGCCCAACCTTGGCAACCTTAAGACCTCTGGACTTCAACTCCCAGAATTCCTCAAGCCAAGTGCAGGTTGGAGACCCCTGCCCTAAAGCAGTGTTTCTCAACCTTGTCAACTTGAAGATGTCCGGACTTCAACTCCCAGAATTCCTCAAGCCAAGTGC